TAGCTGGCTTCATTTGATATATTTGACTATTCACATTCTCCAAAATGTAAACATTGAACATTTGGAAGCCCATGGGGCGTATAGCCCAACGGAAATGTGAAAATAAAATGATTTAATATTGCATTGTCATCCATTTGTGAGCTGCTATGTTTCAAGTTTCAAGACTCAAGCTCATTGCAAAATTTGTACCGAACAGACAAGAAATCAAGCTAATAAAAACGTTTTAAAAATTGTATATTTCATCACTAGAGCCTAAAGTGACTCTTTTTGACCCGAGGTCGGAAGATGAGCGAGGGTTAAAAAGACACCTTTTGCCCGTGTGGTGAACTATATTTTTCGTCATATTGCATCATTACAAAAATAATCATTACATTAAAAGCAACTAAGCAAGAAAACGAAATAATTTTTATGTAAATATAACCTCTCAAAACGACTTCCAGCTTGTTTTCAATTCTGCTAATGCAAATAAACAGCTGTGATTCAATTATTTCGTCTATAACGATTGTGTTATACAGTAGTCTACATTAATACCATCGATATGTCGAGCGATCGACAACAAATAGGTTAACACCTTACCTCATCAATCAATCGATGAATAATTAATTTCGATCGATACGATTGGCACAAACGAAATTTACAACTGTTTAGAACAGAAACTCCCTAGTTTCTTTGGACTCCGAAACATATTACTGTACCCCCAATTTTAGCACAACATCGGCCCATCTTTTAAACGAAGCGGCCGTACCGGAGAAGAAGTCGATCAGCGCACCAATTCGCTGCAATATTTACAGGCCACTCGTATAGAGACAAAACAACACGCCCTTTGATTTGGTGGAACGTAATTCAACCAAACAATCACTGTTGGCCATCTTACCATAGGTATGTTGGCACTGTGACAAAATAAACGGCACGGATGAGTGTAAGCAAGATTAGAAAACTATGCAGGCATGAGAAGTTTAGTTGAGAAACTATGCTGTGGTATGCACCATCATAGATACCAACTCCAAACATACACTCCAAACACCCAATCATCATAAGACCCAATATAGCGCGAATCATTTGCCTATTTTGGATCTGATGATGATTGCATTGTCCAGTGTCCAATCAAAATCGATCACCACTTACCATCTTTTAGGTATTTGCTGTCTTTTGAGTAAACAGAATAAGCGTAAATATATTATTATAAGTGTCATTTTATTTGACGTATTTTGTGCTTTCAGCAGATTCGAAACAGCGCACGTCGCGTTTTCCCCTATCCCTCCCATGTTATCGCGACGGCTTTTTACGGCTCCGCGTGCCCCTATATAAGTCATAGTAGTGTTACTTCAACGCAACATGTATATCCCTATTCGCGTGCCCTCTCCTTAATGTTAATCCTCCTAGGGCGAGCACTATAACCACTCATTTACCCAGTCCCAATACCCAGCAAATTCACACACATTCGAACACTTCGAACCACCGAAAAAAAAATACACCAGTGTTCTAAAACCGCAAGCTTTCCTGTGATTAAAATAAATAATGAGAAATAATTTTCAAAGGTGAGTGAGCGTAGCAAACGAGCTCCAACCTAAAGGTGAGTGAGCGTAGCGAACGAACTTCAACCAGGACGTGATTGAGCCATGCGAACGAGATCATCTTGAAAATTAAGAAGTTAAACGGGGCAAAGCCCGCGGGTTACAGCTAGTCTGTAATAAAAAAACAACCAAACACGCGGTCTCGTTTCGGTATTTACTTTTTTATTATTTGTGTAACTAGTAAATCTATAACTTTATTTTGAGCTATGAGTAGGGAGGTTGGCTAACATGCTTAATACGATATGGCCCTTTCCTTTGTTGTTGTCAAATTGTTTGAAATGTCGTCAGGTTCAGGTTTGTTGTGGCTCAATGTTCTAAAAGTGATAGAACTTTGCTGTGGGTTGGTAAATTTGCGTTTTTCTTAAATGTTATTTCAAATAATGTGTATTAGTTCCACATAATTATTGTTTACATTTGTACGACATGTTTTCATATCCAACCAAACAAACAAAGTGTTATGTCTGTTACAAAGGTAGGTTTACATGTTATTGTAGGCTATTCAATCTTCTCGTGTTCACCTGCTTGAAATGTTTTGTGATCTCATAAAATATAAACAAAGTTCATTGCTTGTACTTCAAAAACGATTGCCTCATTTGCTAAACTTTTTGTTATATTAGTAAAATATCGGTTGTAGTTAAAAGTGTTGAGTCTGAATCTTCATAATTTTCCTAACCTAACTTATGAAGAATGCAGCCAAGATTAGACCTATGGAGGGAATCAGCATTAAAGCGTCGAAATTCTAGCTTATAGGCCTATGTTGCTAAGAATCCGGTACCATAGGCTAATCCTTATGAACCCATCTAGCCTACTTTGGGAAATGTTATAGGCCTATAGTGCTTTTGGCAAAACTTAACCTAGAACATAAGCAAGACGCTTTTCACAGTGCTGTCACCAAATAGGGGGAGGGCTTCCGGCTCTCTGAAAGAATAATGCCAGTAACTTTACATTCAGTCAATTAAAGTCTCAATAATGAAATAATCACAACCAAAACAACTTTTGTTTGCAAAGGCTTATTTTAGGAACAATTAAAAAATGCCTACAGGCCTAAGTAAAACAAGACAGGAACTTACCACTGCATTAAAACTAGGTTTACACATAAGTATGTACATAGACAAAAAGAATTAAATATAGACCGTCAGCCGTGCTGCGGTTACCATAGGTTCTGGCGCATACCGCTGGGAGCGCCATGTAGTGACGGTGTACCCGCTAAGTAACCACACGGCGCTCCCAGCGGTGTGCGCCATCATGGCTGACAGTATAATTCTGTTTGTCTATGTTATGTAGCAGAGGCGTCACTAGCCATGCCAGTTGGTAACTTAGTGTCATGCCACATTCGGCTTAACTTAAGTTTAACTTAAATTTGAATTTGAACTTAGTTTAAGTGAAAACCTAGTTTGTCACTAGAATTACGTCAGTTCAATTTTAATATTATGTTGTTCTGTGACATTTGGAAATGTCTTGTTTTTATCCGAAATACCTGAAAATGTCACACTCAGTTTACCTATTATACCTAACTAACTTAGAGGTCGTCCAGTTTAGTAGAAAAATCAACCAAAAATATCTCTATTTTTACACCAAAATGTAATTAAATACTTGATTGGAATTTCTTCCATTCGTTTTGATTTTATGTTTAGGCTATTATTAGACATTTTTTTATTTTATCACCAGCATAGCAACCAAGGCCCAAGTTATTATTATTATTTTTTTTTTGTTCTTATTTTTGAGCTTAGGCCTATTTTAATTTAAGTTATAAAGGGATTCTGCACATCTACAGAAAAATATCTTTCTAACAGTAGGCCTATGTACATAATTTTTCCCTGCGATGCACACAAGTGGAGAAAAAAGGTTTTAAAGAAACATGCTTGCCTATTAATAGGCCTATGTAGGCCCTAGATTAGATTTAATTATAACTTTAAATTTTAAACTTATTTATGGCTTAGTAAGTAGGCTAAAGTAATTAGTCAATTACTCCACTTGCACTCTCTATGCACAATATAAGTTCATATTGTTCGAAAAACTTAGAATCTGTAAACCAATTACATAGAAATGTCCAACCATGGAATCAACTGATCTAGCCTCCCTGTGCAAAGGCGCGGTGCACCATCTTCCCACAACAAAAAGACGCCAAGACTAAATTTAAGTGTAAAACCTGAAAAAAAAACCAATGGGCCAGGGACGAATGTAAAATATTTGTGAAGTGAGTTCAAAGAACTTCTAAACGAACCACTGGACGAGTATGTTTAAAGAAAAATATAGCTTACATTATCGAAAAAAGTTTTTTATTTTTTGTACAGTGGTATTTTCTACAAACCGGAAAATGTATTAATTCATTACAGCTTACATGGTTTTTTTACAAAATGTCTATTATACTTTTGTAAGATTAAAAATAAAATAGGTAATACTTGTTTGAAATATCCTAAACACTTGTTTAACTACGATTTCTCCCTCTTTAACACCATTATTAGGCTACTACATTTCATCATGAAAAAATTAAAGGTTCAAACTTTTATTTTCAAATGAATAAAAGGATCATAAAATTTATGTTACAATTTATGAGAAAATGAATAGCCTATAGATATTTTGTCTAAAGTTTTCAAGAGTTAAATATCAAAAACATTTTTCTATACCCATTTTTATTTGGGCGTCCTTTAGACCCCTGTGCATGCTCCAGTGTAAAAAGACGTGCGTGCATGCTTAAGGGTTAAAACCAAGAGGTTAGAATAACTTGCCTTTGATTCTTTCACAAAGTATTCGAGCAAATGTGAGTATAACTTAAGCCTATTTTGCGTGCTGTGTTTGCTTGGTTTTTCTTAGGTTAAGTTTTGCATAATGATTGTATAGCCTATAGTGACAAGTGTATTTTTTGACGATGCCCATTGCATTTTGTACAGTGCTTAAAGGAAAATAAATTTCATTTCATTTCATTTCATTTCAAAGGTTCCCTGCACTGTCATAAGTTATTCAATGAAATTTAAATAATTAAACACCAACTTAAGCTGCTTGATTTAACCTAGCTAGAAATCATAAAGCTCTGACTGGATCTTTTTCCTGGTATGACTAGCGACCCCATGTAATTTACACGGGCCACTATCTAGTGGCGCCACCAAATAGATACCGTAACTTATTTGAAAAATATTTGTAGTGTCATACAATATGATGTGCTATTTAACGTCTCCAATAAATAAGACATCCTATTTGAGGTTTACATAGCCTACTAGGCTTAAATTTGTTGTACCTACAGTACCACTTTATATTCAAAAGTGGTTCCACTTCTTCACACTAATGAAGAAATCTAGCTTTATTTTTAGAGCTGTTACCATGCTTGACATTTTTTGCCAACAAAACCTTCTAATATACTGTTTTTAAAAAAAACCTCCTTGTATATAGGCCTAGGCTTTAACTTCATACATTTTTGTTTGTTTACAGTGGTTGATGCATCGTGGAACAGATGAAATACTGAATGCTTTGAAGGCCTACAACAAAGAAGCTTGGTTTGGCGTTTTCCACACCAGCAATAATGAATACTCCCTGTCACAGCAGTTGTAATGTAAGTTTAAAAGTTCTTGACAAAGGTTTTTAGCCTGTAGGATCATAAAATATTAATTAAGCCCGTACTTAAACTTGCTTATAAGTTTGATTGCCTACAATCTAAAATGTGCATGGAGTGGTTACTGTGGCTGCTGAGTGGTTGAATTCGTCCAGGGCCTGATGGGTTGTCCATTGCAGTCCAAACCGACCCCTCCCATCACTGATACTGAAACAGTCAGTTTGAGGCCAACATTCGGAGTGGATCATTGTTATTGTCGCTGCGTAATAGTGTCGGTTTTGTTTGTATTTTTGATGCAATTCACTTTTCAATCGGCCTTTTTGTTATCACGAAACCACAGCGTACGTGTTAATATATCACTAAAATAGGAGACTGACAAACCAATGTGTACTTATGTGTAATTTTTAAAAAGCAAAGACAAAAGATAAGTGTGGCCTAAAGCCTTGCCAATGTCAAATAATTGTAAGATTGTTGTTCCACAGAATGTGTCTGGTACATGGCCGCGTGTGGTACAAGAGGTTGGGTCTGCTCACAAGAAAGGTTCTACCCTACCTTCGCCACACATCCCTGTTAAATCTGGACTACAGACACTAAGGTTGGCAGTTTCAACTGATACTTACTTTACTTTAAGACTAAGAGATACTTCACAAAGTTTTCCTCTAGGCGCTTGTTATCTTTATTGTTAAAAGATGTTGTTTAGCTGGGTGGCTGTTGCAGAAATCACAGTACCTCACACACATCTTACTAGGAACTGACTTAATTCAATTCACTTTTTAAATTCCTCCCCTACTATCCCAATACTCAGTAGGAGTAATGGTCGTGTTGCATGGACGACACCATGTGCCACCTCTCCTGCTCAGAGATCCCGGCGCTTTAGATCCTTGTGTCACACCTTGTGTTTTGTTTTCATCATTATATGGTTAGGCCTACTTTTTAACAGTAATACATGTGTAGTTTGTATTCATGTAATTTTTTTCTCTCACAATTCCTAACTGTGATAAAATGCATATATTTATACTAGCTGTAACCCGCGGGCTTTGCCCCGTTTAACTTCTTAATTTTCAAGATGATCTCGTTCGCATGGCTCAATCACGTCCTGGTTGAAGTTCGTTCGCTACGCTCACTCACCTTTAGGTTGGAGCTCGTTCGCTACGCTCACTTGCCTTCAGATTAGCTCGTTCACTACGCTAACTCGCCTCCAAGTTGAAGTTTGTTCGCTATGCTCACTCACCTTTTGGTTGCAAATTAGCTGTTGTCATAAATGTAAAAGAAATAATAGTGCTGCATCCTGTTGGTAATCCTTGTAACTTTAATGCTATTGAACATCATAGAACAGAACCAACTTGTTTAATTGAAACAGCTGTTAAGATTCATTAATTCCATTTCTCATAAGCTTAACATGGGAAACTCCAGAGCCACTGGGGTAAAGCCGATTGGACGGATCACGAAATTGATGGTGTATAAACCTATTCCATGAAATTCTACACGTATGTACCAAGTTTCGTGGCAATCGGTTCAGCGGTGTCTGAGTTTATGGAAAGTAAATAAAAGAAATGTCTTATAACACTTAAAACATATATTTACGCTTATACTGTTACTCACAAGACGGTAAATATACAAAAAAGATGGTAAGTGGTGATCGATTTCGATTGGACACTCCAATCATCATCAGACCCAATAGGCGAATGACAGAAAAGAAGTTATCTGAGTTTATCACTGCCAAATAAATATACAGGGTGGCTGGTCATCAGTGTGCACAGTGAGCGCAGCGAACAAGCTCCAGAGTGAGCGTAGCGAACGAACTTCATCCAGGACGTGATTGAGCCATGCGAACGAGCTCACTTATGAAGTAAAACGGGGCAAAGCCCGCGGGTTACAGCTAGTATATATATGTATATATATATACAAACATCCTCTTTTATACTTAAAGATAATTTACTATACCTAAGCAATATTTACTTTTATATTGATCTCATTAGGCCTACCCTACCTGAAAAAATCTTGGTAAAATCAACACCGTTAAAATCAAACTCACGTGGTAGGCTAACAGTAAACATGTTGATCTTGATAACTTAGCTCCTCATTTAGAGTACTATAGATTGAAGGGAAAAGATTTCTCTTCAATGAAACCCTATTTCACAAAACTAAGGCCACAATGTTATGGCCGTTGATGGTGAAATTAAAGCTTATTTAATTTTTTTAAAATCTTAATGTAGGCTTAGGCTTTTTCAAATTTACCTTATGGATATAAAACCACATTTGTATTCCCCTGCTCAAACCATTGATTCAAATATTTCTCACCTTTATAAATAATAACCTTTATAATAATAATAACCAAAGCTGTAAGCAATGATTGTTTATAATTTGTTGTTTTTTTTCATTACATGTTGTAGAGTACCAAGTTATAATTGTATTTCCAGAACGGAGAAGAAACGTCACCCAGTACAGCGAGCACCGTCCAGGTTGTACGAGGTAGACAGGAACAACCCGAGACAGGACAAATACCGAGGGCCGACTACATGCATCGGACCGGAGTTTGTAGTCAGGGCTGCCAACCCACCGAGAGTCATACATGTGGGAGATGTAAAGGTAACGACATTTTATAAATATACCTTAATTATTATACCTTTTTATGGTGAGTCACAGAGACGTAAGGTCCAGAGGAAATTTACAAATTAAAAAGTGTTGGGTGATTTCACACCGCCCCCTCGTCCTCATGTACTACTACTATGCTCATGGTCGAGGAAGACCCTGTGCAATAAGAATTTCCGCACAGTGCTTGCCATTCAGGCTCCTTTTACTCGTCACAAGTATATTTCCGGCACAACATACCAGAGCTCAAAGCGCACAGTTGTGTCATACGTGTGTGTGTTGTCTGTATCTTACTTCTCTGGGTGATTCTAGTTTACGACTACTGGGACCAAACTATTTACTTTGCAAACTGGAAAAAACATCTAATTTTTAGGTTACTTACATAGGAGAAGTACTGGTGCCTACAGATTATATTTAAAATTTTATTAGTTGTAAGTTATTAAAGTGGACTATACATAATTGAAATAACTATTGTCTACCACCAAACGCAGGGCATTTCCAGAAAAAAGAGTGGCTTTCGTACAATAAGCCCTCGCTAATTTTTCATCCTATTTAATCCAACACATTTAATATGAAATTAGTTTTTTCCACACTAAATAAGTCTTCTGGGCGCTTTTAGCAAAGTTTGCAAGCAATCGCATGAGGATGGGTATTTGGCAGTGATGAAATAGTTATTTGTGTAACTAGTGGTGAAAGTGGCACTTTGCTGCACACGAGAGCAACGGCTCGTGCGGAATGATCTCGAGTGCAGCAAAGGCCTTTTTCACTCGTGTTACACATTATATTTTTCCTACAGTCACTATAAAGCATATGAATAATTAGTCTTTCAAACACTATACAACACGTTTTTAGGTTCAGCTGGCAACACAAATGGTGCCCTAGAGAAAGTAGTACCCGCGGTCCATATCACTCCGCTATTTTTCCTCGGCAAGAAATGTGCTCCGTGTTTTGAGAATATAGTTCGGTATGTTTTTGTAATTAGAAGTGGATTCCGCGCATAAAAAAATGCTTTAATTAAAGGTATTTTCTTGTTTATTAAGATCGTAGGAATGTTTTAAAAACGTTTAAAAGAAAAGTCCAGAAAGTTCAGAAATACCAAAACTATAAACACGAAATGACAGGTTAAATCGTAGTTATAATAGTCAATCAGCTGCTCATAGTATTATTATCTTTAAGTGTTGCTAACCTATTTCCAAGCGTACACGGATTACGTGCATAATAGAACCACACTGTTTTATGTTGTTTCGTTGGAATCCTGATGTGCGGCAAAGTATAAACCGTACGACAAAGTATAAACCGTACGGCAAAGTATAAATATGCAGCAATTAGCAGCTTTCTGTACTATAAACAGTACAAGGAAGCCAACTTTGTCGGGTGACTGTAGGAAAAATCTGGTTCCCCTGTTTCTTCTTGCCTAGTGTTTACTGTTAGTGCCGCAGTACATAGCTGTTTAAGATTCTTTTAGATGGCACCCAGTAATCAGGAATTTTCGGTAATCTGCTATTGCTTAAGTCCTGAAAGTCCCAAAAAAAGTTATGTCTAAAAAATTGTACCAGGTTAAATATACCTTTTTGGTATTTTCTTAGTCAGGTTACTTGTTCTTGGACAAAATTGAAGGTTACGCCTACATTTTGTAATCTAAGGTACTTAAACTTACTATTTAATTTATTCAAAATTATCTTCTTTCCTGTTTCAGCCAGCATTGAGGAGAAAATTGATTGTCATTCTTTTGAATGGACAAAAAGTTGAAATTACTTGCGACCCCTCGTCGACCACTGCCTCTCAGATATTTGAGGTAACTTTTGTCATATTCCTGTATTTTGTAGTTTTAGTTATAAATTGTAGATATGGTATTAAAAGTTTCCTGCAGAATGTTAATCAAAGTATTGGGCTCCATGCTTGAGTGGGCACCATATGCTTGTTTGGCTTATTTTAAATAGTATAGTGCAAGTAGACTACTCATCCTGTCGTAAAATCTTAAGTCAGTTTTTGTTTACATTTCATGTTTGTGCTGATGTCTATTAATTTAAAATTAATGTTTCTATCTATCTTATTATAGGTTTGATTTTACTCTGAGTTTTACCCTGTGGTTAAATCACCAAGAACCAGTAATTCTTTATTTAAATTGTTTTGCTTGATTGAATAGTTTTATAATTGGTTAAAACTGACAAAAGTCTTGGTCATAAGTTAACCAATATCAAAATGGAGCCGTCCGTTGAAATGTAAAATAAAATAAAAAACAAGAAACAAGAACATTGTTAACAGGCTTCCTTGTTCTACATGAAATTGATGGAACCAACCTTAAAAATGTCTTCAGATTGATACTAGCATGACTACTACTAGCGTAATGATACTAATACTATGAATGAGCGTAATACTAATGAATGATACTAGCGTATCTTTTAGAGAGTAGGCTATGTTTAATCCATCTTGTAAGTTATGGTTGGATATACAAGCTCACTATTCTCTACTCTACTTTGTTTTATCAACTTTTAAATTTATTAATTATAATGTAAGTTGTGGTGAGACTTTAGTTATCCAATGATTTCATTGGTCAAATGTTTTTGTCCTCCCAGGTTATAGTGGAGAGCGAAGGAATTTCAGAGAATTTCACTTTGGGACTCGCTATGCTCGTGTCCGGAGACTTCATGTTTCTTCCTCCAGAGGTTCGTCTACACAAGATGGCTCCATCAGGGTGGGGCAACAGTACTCAGAAAAATCACCCTTACTACAGCTTTACTCTCTATTTGAAAATCAAATTCTTCCTTACACCCCTACGATGTTTCAGGTAATTATTTACCATTGTATTCGATAGGTTGCCTTTCTTAATTCCAAGTAATATTAGGCTAGGTAGGTATTAGCAGTAGGTTTTGAAAATTCATAATTTAGAGAGTAAAAATTGTGGCTAATAATCATTAGTTGGTAGCTTAATTGCCAGAAGCTTGATTTCCACTTGTGGCAATCAGCTACTAATTAGTGATTATTTGTCGATTGGCTGACAAGATTGGAAAGTAACTTAATATAAGTTATTAGTCATTCTATTGTTCTGTAGGCCTATTGTTATGTATTCAGTTGTTACAGAATAATAATTTTAAGTAGGCCTACTTGTATAGTAAAGTTTTGAATTAACATCAAAACTTTACATTCCCTAAAGATCAATATTTCAAGTGCTGACTGTTTTATATTTTAAAGGCGTCACATTTCTGAGCAGTCAGAGCTAAAATCATACTTTCCATATACTGTATGCCAGAACAATTCTGCAGAGCACCTGCTGGGAAAAGTGTTGACTTGGGGATGTTTATAAATATTGAGTGCTGCATAACCCCTCTTAGAAGCTATAAGTAGTGATTTGATTTTTAGTAATTAAAACACTGTCGTAGGTAAAGTTGTGTACCCAACTAAATAGTGTTAACAACACTCGTAGAAGTGTTTAAGACACACACACCAAGGCTCCTACCTAAGATTTTCTACTCGAGTTGTTATTACTATCTTTACGTAACCGTTGTGCACACTACTATTACCGATTCTTTCTCTTCTTGATTTGAGTTTTTCTTTACCCAAATAATAATCTGCTCTCAAATATAACCTATCGATGTTTAAGTTTGCAATCATTTTCCAGATCATGGAGCTGGAAACACTTGTTATATCTGCAGCTAAGAAGGTGCCTTTTGGAGAGACAGTTGCGATGTGAGACTAAAGACATGATGACTCTTGCCGGGCTCGCCTTGCAGGCAGAGTTTGGGGACTTCAATGTTGAGGTGCGTTAAGTGTCGATTTATTTACTGGTGAAGTTTTTTTTTTAAATCCATAAAAATCCTTACCCTATTTCTTTTACCCAGCATTCTATTATTTCATGCTCAAAACCTTAACTAATAAAAAGGAACAATGTTTCTCTAATATTTAAATACTTAGAGGTTGAAATACTTATGAATCCTCAACAGCTTGGTAACTGAGAGGATATTTTCCCTGCCTAACAATAAGAAGGTTGGTGTTTACGTCTGATGAGTGAATCTCAGTTGGGTAAATGGATCGAAACTAGTCCGAATGCTCTGTAATTGCTATCCTTTCAGTAACAAAGCTAAACAAGGCATTCCAAGAGATCTGTGGGTTCCCAAAGTTGTTAAATCAGGCTGATCCAACAGTTCACTCGGGTCAAATCATATTAGATGTGTGTGAATGGCTTATTTAGTTATTTCCAAGCATATACTCACCCAATATTATTGTGAACACAAAAAGTGTCTGTGAAGATTGTACAATCATACATACATATCCTCTCCCGCTCCATCTGTGGGTCTGGGTGTTCACTAGGCCTCTCCATCTTCTTTTGTTTCTCCACAATTCCTCTTCCTCCTCATACTGCCACTGCACTCCTCTTGTTTCCACATCTTGTTTCACCTTGTCAATCCACCTTCTAAGTGTTCCTCTTGGTCTTCTTCCGTTCATGTGAAGATCACTAATTTCTCTGGGGATTCTATCATTTTCTTTTCTTCTTAAGTGGCCAAACCATCTCAATCTTGATTTCTAAAACTTTCTTCAACTATTCCTCTTGTAGCTGTAGTGGAACATATTTAGCGGGGAGCGGAGAAGGAAGGAGGGAGACTATTGTTTGCTATCGCGGGTTCGGGGGCGATATATAGCGGTTATGGGATATTGGCGGGAATTCGGGAAATGGAATTGCTATGTCTGGACCAAACTTAACTTAAGCGTGCTGAATTTGCTACCAATAAAATTAGGAAGATTGCTGGGGACCAGAGGGACGGAGATCTTTACCCAAATCAGAACACCTGCCTAGCCAGCTTTGATTTACACTAACTTAACTAACTATTTAACTGTAGACCTATCCTTCCAACTAAGAACTGAACATGGATAATTACTTAGAAATATTGCAGAGTGAATGAAATAATACGTAAATTGAATACTGTACTGAATGTGAAATATGTATGAATTTAATTGATAATTGCTAAGCTACATTCTGGGAACATGTGGTTTAGTTTTTCATGTTTGAAAAGGTTGGTTGCAGAAGGCAGCCAACCAACTAAGTTGTGATTCCCTACATTTCAATGGTCGGGTGAGCCAAAAAGGCTCCCCGGTGTTTCCTGACTTAGCCAACCATAATTGGTACTTATATCCTACATAATTATAACTAAATATAAACTTATCAGTTTGCGGTCCCCGGAGTTAGCAATTTCACAGTTTTCTCTTCGAAGGATCATAGACCAAGACAAGAAGGAGGACAAGAGTAGGAAGGTGGGGATAGAGCGTTGATGCAGTCGCGGCAGGCAACGAGATGGTCATGCAGCCCGGCTTCGCGAAATGCTTACACTATATAAAATATAGCGTACTGGTATATGCGTCACACTCTTCTCAACTCTTCATTTTGAATTCTATTTAATATCTTTTCCCTTTATACCTCTTACAAACTTCATTTCCCCGTCTGATCCCTACTCCAGTCCAAATCTCTGTTATATTCCAAACTTCTGCACAATGGGTAACTATCGGTATATAATAAGTTTTATACATGTCAACTTTTGCAGTCTTTGGTGTATCTTTTATCCCAGACTAGATGTCTTTTCTCTAATAGCTAATACTTTGATAAAATCCGCTTCTTTCCCCAGTCTAGCTATTATTTCTTGTGCCATTCCCCCATTGTTTGATAACACAGAGCCTAAATATGTACATTTGTTGACTAACTTAAGCCGTTCTCCCTCTACTTTAAAATGTTGTACCAACCCTCCATCTCTTCCAATCCCCATTACTTCGCTCTTTTCCTTACTTAATCTTAATCCTCTTTCTCTCGTAACCTCAGTCCATGTAGGCCTATCAAGTTGGACAATTCAATATTTTCTGCAGTTATTAATTATCACTTTGGCTTAGGAGAGATGTTCTTAATTGTTTATCTAAGCTTCATTTTAAGTTATTATGTGTCTAAGTTTTGTAATACATTAAAAACTCAATACCCCAAGTCTGGGTAATGTTTTAGATAACGTACTCTCAATAGTGTAGAATTTACATTTTGTTGGTTTTTATCATTGATTTATGGTGTTGATGGGTCGTAGGAGCATGGCTGTGGAGATTATTTCCTGCCCGAGCACTACCTACCAGAGGGAATGTGGAGAGAAGGCGAGGCTGGAGTGGTGAGAGAACTGCAACTGTTACACAGAGAGAGACGTGGCCTGGACCCTGGCAGGGCAGAGGAGATGTTCATCTCATACTGTCAGAGGCTGTCAGAGTACGGCACACACCACTACTCAGCTGTCACAGTGAGTGTCTAGGCTGTAGCTAGGGGGGATGTAGAGAGAGACGTGGCCTAGACCATGGCAGGGCAGAGGAGATGTTCATCTCATACTGTCAGAGGCTGTCAGAGTACGGCACACACCACTACTCAGCTGTCACAGTGAGTGTCTAGGTTGTAGCTAGATGGGATATAGAGAGAGACGTGGCCTAGACCATGGCAGGGCAGAGGAGATGTTCATCTCATACTGTCAGAGGCTGTCAGAGTACGGCATACACCACCACTCAGCTGTCACAGTGAGTGTCTAGGTTGTAGCTAGATGGGATATAGAGAGAGACGTGGCCTAGACCATGGCAGGGCAGAGGAGATGTTCATCTCATACTGTCAGAGGCTGTCAGAGTACGGCATACACCACCACTCAGCTGTCACAGTGAGTGTCAAGGTTGTAGCTAGAGGGGATGTAGAGAGAGACGTGGCCTGGACCCTGACAGGGCAGAGGAGATGTTCATCTCATACTGTCAGAGGCTGTCAGAGTACGGCACACACCACTACTCAGCTGTCACAGTGAGTGTCTAGGTTGTAGCTAGAGGGGATGTAGAGAGAGACGTGGCCTAGACCATGGCAGGGCAGAGGAGATGTTCATCTCATACTGTCAGAGGCTGTCAGAGTACGGCATACACCACCACTCAGCTGTCACAGTGAGTGTCTAGGTTGTAGCTAGATGGGATATAGAGAGAGACGTGGCCTAGACCATGGCAGGGCAGAGGAGATGTTCATCTCATACTGTCAGAGGCTGTCAGAGTACGGCACACACCACTACTCAGCTGTCACAGTGAGTGTCTAGGTTGTAGCTAGATGGGATATAGAGAGAGACGTGGCCTGGACCCTGACAGGGCAGAGGAGATGTTCATCTCATACTGTCAGAGGCTGTCAGAGTACGGCACACACCACCACTCAGCTGTCACAGTGAGTGTCTAGGTTGTAGCTAGAGGGGATGTAGAGAGAGACGTGGCCTGGACCCTGACAGGGCAGAGGAGATGTTCATCTCATACTGTCAGAGGCTGTCAGAGTACGGCACACACCACCACTCAGCTGTCACAGTGAGTGTCTAGGTTGTAGCTAGAGGGGATGTAGAGAGAGACGTGGCCTGGACCCTGACAGGGCAGAGGAGATGTTCATCTCATACTGTCAGAAGCTGTCAGAGTACGGCACACACCACTACTCAGCTGTCACAGTGAGTGTCTAGGTTGTAGCTAGAGGGGATGTAGAGAGAGACGTGGCCTGGACCCTGACAGGGCAGAGGAGATGTTCATCTCATACTGTCAGAAGCTGTCAGAGTACGGCACACACCACTACTCAGCTGTCACAGTGAGTGTCTAGGTTGTAGCTAGGGGGGACTTAGAGAGTATTCACCTGGAGTAGGCCTACACTATACTAAACTACATTTATTCACATACTCTTTTGGGGCCTGCAGGCCACACTATTTTTATTTGGGAGGGACAGGTTGGGTTTAAAATTTTGGCCTTTGGGTTGGGCCAAAAAAGGGTTGCTTATGGCAATTTTATTGTATTATTAAAATTGGGTTATACAATATTGTACATGATCTCTCCCATAAAGTCGTTTAATCCTCCACATCTTATTAGTCAAGAAAATAGTGAGCATTTTCTACGGTCACAGTAAAATTGTGATCTTTTTTCTCCAACTCGGTGAAGTCATCCGACATTTTCTGCGGTTTCTTTACAGAAAAACTGTAAGCATATTTTGAGATCACGGAAAATTGTGAGAATCTTTTACGATCACAGCTAAACTAAGAACATATTCAATGATCACGGCATCACTATTTCAGTAAAAGTAAAACCATGAGCATCATCCGTGATGGCTGCGTAATCTTCTATTTTCGATCCAACACATCTTGGCGGACACTTTCTGCGATGGAAAAAATAAAAGATCAGCTTCATCTGACTCAAGCTTAGTCCAAAATTTATTACAGGCCAAACCCTACCCCTCAAACTAAATGCTTACTCAAACTGACCTGAAAATCTTGGGGACACATAGACCCTTAATATTCTTTATTTTGTCACGTTTATTGTTTGTTTGTTGTCAGAGTAATCAGGAAGGTGTGACGTCAGAGGTGTGGCTCGGAGTGAGTGGTGAAGGAATCGTAGTGAGCCTCAAGAGAGCCTGCAGTGCCTACTCCGCTCGCATGCCTCACCGGATCTTCAAGTGGGCAGACATCAAGAAGCTCTGCTACGGCAAACAGCAGTTTGAGCTCACCCAGCAAAAAGACTCTGTCAAGCACAAATTCAAAATGGATTGTAACAAGTAAGGGTAACCTATTGTGTAATATGTGGTTCAGATTTAACATAGAGCACGAGGGCCTAGGTTAAAGGAATTTTGTACAGCAGGCTTATCCAAATAGGAAAGATTCCTCCACTTCGGCAATGGTAGATAAATTACAAAATGTTTACACTGTGCCCAATCTTTTACTGTCGCTGGCAATATATTCATCCACAAAAGGAACTGATCAGAGCCAGGCCATGATTGTATATGAAGACCTCTTTCTACCCAACTTAAACATTTCTTGTTTAGAAGTGCTTTGATAGAAAATTCAATATTCACATTTTTGTGTATGTATAGATTAAAATGTTTTCGTTAATTGTGGCACACTAAACTCTTTCTCATTCAGGTAACCTACTAACAAAAATCCTTGAATGTGTTACATAATGATGTTTGAGTAGTACAATGGGACCTCCCATATTTGACTTTTAGAATAAACGACTCCTTTGAATATCCAACAACGTTAAAGGTTAAATATCCCGTGTCTTACTGCTTCTCGCCAAGCAAGTCTTTGCATATGACTTTATCAAACTAGTTTACTTATTTTCTAGGTCTCCTCTCATACTTAGGTCCTGCATTTCTTTAAATATCTAACCATTTAACTTTTCTTTTTTTTTATATTAATTGAACATGACCTTTCTTACTCATAGCCTGACAACCTTTTTTGTGTCATGCTAGAATGTTGATTGATTCCGTAAGTCGAGAATGTTATTCCAAGGAGCGTCAACCACATAAGGGCTTTGCGATCCCCATTTTATCCTCAAAGCCCATTCTACTTACAGTAGCCTATTTTATGGATTGCAGCATTCTGCCTATGAACTTATCTCGAGGCAGGAGCTGTCTCTCACTCTAGTTTAGAGGCCTTTCCCTACTGTTTTTCAGAGCTGTGCAGTGAAAAATAAATAATTTGTCTTCTCAGACCGCCCACATTTTCTCTGTACTATATCCTCAGTAAACTGATGGTCATTAATAGAGTCATGCTGTATTTCCATTCCAAACATAATTATTCAAATATATTTAAGTCAAATTGTAGTTAACTCAATTTATTCTTGTGAATTCAAGTATGAGCTTTTAAAACACTTTGTAGGGATGGACCAGATTGGATTTTTAGTTTGAGACGAGACGAGACAATATTTTTTATTTCTCATAAAATTTTGAGACGAGATCGAGACGGGATTTCCCTTCTCATACACAACGGATAATGCACATTCGACATTTCTACCTGATTTTGTAACATTGTTAGATGACAAAAATAATAATAATAGACAAGAATATTTAAATTTTGTATTAAAAAACAAGTAGCCTATATTAATTACGCCTAACTTATTAAAAATGCTTACGATTAGGAAACATGGTGATATCAGTTCAAAGGATAGAGTTAAACTTATCCTAAAATAAAATAAATCATAAAATAATTAAAGTAATAATTACATGTAAAGAATTAATTAAATAAAAATGCCTCTGCAAAGGAAACGCAACTACAACACGCTCCTGTATTGCAGGTATTGCATTGACTTTCTGCAGGTGTTTGAATTTATTTTTTTATTCTCGTCTCGGAAAAATCTTGATCAAAAAGAAATCTTGTATCGTATAACGAGATTTAAAATTTCCCGAAATGTTGAGACTTGCCATCCCTTACTCTTTGCTAGGTAGTATTGTTTGTTTTCTTTTTTTCTTACGATATCCAGTAAGTGACTACTGTACTTTTTAGTTTTAGTTAAATATTTGTTGATTGGAATAGCTGTGTACTTATTTTTGTTCATTGTGTTTTAGAAGCTTCTGTGTCTTTCGATTAACTTCATTGCATCATAAATTCTTCCAGAAGTACAAATCTGAAATGTGTTCTTTACAAGATTTGGCAAACGGTAGGTTGAACTTTTTTGAAATTTTATAAACTTAATAATTTTATAAAATATTCCTTATGGAAACAAAAGCTCAAATTTTTCATTGTTTGTTTGCTTGATGATTCCTTTTTTGACAGTTTGATTTGTATTAAGAGCAACTATGGTCAAGTTTCTTACCTTACTTTCATGTTGTTTGTGATGTTTACAACATGTTCACAAAGGTGTTCCATATTATCAAACTTCTCTGCTTGCCCAAACTTGCTGCAACCAATTTAGGTAGGCGTACAATAATCAACTCTCTACTATAATGATTTAGTCTAATGCAAATGTCTATGTTTCATTCCTAGAGTTCGGTATTCCTGTGAAGAGAAATGAAAAAGATTCCACAAAATGTGTCTACTATATTGGGAGCAGTCATTCTGATGTCAGGATTGAAGACAAAACCAGCCTACTCAGAAGGTCTGCAAGTTTTTTCAGTCCTGACAGAGTTATTTTTCGCGGGAAAACCTCTACACATTGCTTACATAAAAAGTATGTAAATCCATATTTTTCCTAACTTTAGAAAACTATTTATTAGTTAAACATGTGACTGCTTACTGTCAACTGCAATCGTAATTATGCTAGCACAGAGCACTTTTTCAGAAATGACTTCATTTTTGGGTGCATGCAATAGTAAATTCATGCCTAAGCAAAATCTGAAATGGAGTAATCTCCAACTAATTAACATTGTCTAAAAGTTTCATCAAAATAAAAAAATAGATCATTATATTAATTTACAGATTTCTAATGGGTTATTGTTGTCAGCAGAATATTTAGAACACTTACTTGCTGTCTGTCATACTTAAAGAAAACCAGGGGG